ATGCGGGACTCGATCCCAGGACCCTGGGATCATGACCTGAGCCGAAGGCAGATGCTTAACTGACTGAGCCACCCAGGCGCCTGAATAAGAATTACTTTTATTAAAAAGGGAATTACTTTTGTTAAAGAAAAAATATGTCTAGTAAAATTTAAAAATAAACTGACCTCTAATAACCGCTTTTCCCAATGATTGAGCTCAGTGCCCATACCACCTTGATTTTCGAGTTCCATTCCCTCCAGAATTGGACAGTTAAAATGTTTTCGTGCTTCATCCTAAGAATCAGAAAAAAATAAATAAACCCTACAGAAGTACAATAAGCTAATGGCAGATTCTTTATCTAATTTAATATAAATATAATAAAGTAGCTGTTAAAGAATTACTTTGTTGAGAAGTGAGAGAACATCTTTTAAAAATATGGCTTTTAATATAATTAAATATTTTGATACTATTACACTCTTCTTTGCTAGTAAATTACTATTTCTCTTAATATGTTTTCCTCTATTTGAAGATTTTGGCTTTAAGTCACATGTTTCAAAAAGGCTACAGACTAACATGATTGCCATTTGTAACTATTATATCAACAATGTTTTTAATGAAGGTATAAACTGCTCTTAGTATATAGTCTTTGAAACAAAAATAAGTTCTTCATTAGAATACAATTTTGCTCATTTGGTTTTTTCTGTCCTTTGGTTAGAAATTTCCAGTGATGGGAAATATCCCAAGAGCTGTGCAAAAGTTCCGAAGACAGGGGTGCTGGCTGGCTGTCAGTAGAGCATGTGACTCTTGATCCTAGGGTCATCAGTTTGAGCCCCACGTTGGGGGTAGAGCTTATTTTAAAAATAAGAGAATGGGATGGTTAATTTTACATGTCAACTTGGCTAGGCCACAGTACCCAGATATTTGATCAAATATTATTCTGAATGTTTCAGTTAAGGGTGTTTTTGGATGAGATTAACATTTAAATTACTTTAAGTAAAGCAGATTACCCTCCATAATATAGACAGGCCTCATCCAATCAGTTGAAGGCCTAAAAAGAACAAAGACTGACTTTGTCCAAGCAAGAAGGAATTCTGCCAGCTTACTGCCTTTGGACTCAAACTGTAACTCTTCCCTGAGTGTCCAGCCTGCCAGCCTTAGAGATCCTAAGAGGTACGAGAGTAGAGGAGCACTGGCTTAAAGCAATGAGTAAAATGGAGCCATGAAAGTTATTGACAAATTTCAATTTCTTCAGATTTCTCTTGGCTTGTAGCTTTCCTATACTGCTTTTATATTATTTTTCTTATTATAGGTTCTGAAATTTAATCTTAAGTTCTTTTTTTTTAGAGATGTATTTATTTATTTTAGAGAGAGAGACAGTGTGCATGAACAATTGCGAGAAAGGGCAGAGAGAAAGAGAGAGAATCTGAAGCAGACTCCACAGTGAGCACAAAGCCCTATGTGGGGCTCGATCCCACAACCCTGAGATCATGACCTGAGCTGAAACCAAGAGTCAGACACTTAACCAACTAAGCCACCCAGATGCTCCTAGTCTTAAATTCTTTAACAATAATGATTAGTAAAGAAAGAACTATAAGAAAGGAAAAGAAAAGATGGGTCAGGAAAAGAAGAAGTTGGGTTAATACGTACGACAACACGAGGTGTTACTAGAAGATACACAGTGTGAGAAACGATCTTATTATCTCGAACATTCCATAATCTCTCCACTTTTCGAACTACTTTATCACTCCACTGATATAGTCCAAGACTGCAATTAAAGAATAAAAGACAGTCATTTTGCAAATTCACCACAACTTTAAATAGTAAAAGTGTTTATGAACATCAATATGAAATTAAAATATTTGAGTTTACTAAGTACCAAGTCCTTGTAAAGTACTTGAAATTTTCTATTTTAATCTTTTCAACCTTATGAGATTATCATCACTATTTTGCAGATAAAGAGACAGAAGTTTGGAGAGATGAAGTAACTTGCTCAAGTTCACGTAGCTAATACTTGGTTCAGATGACAATGAATTACTTCCTTTTAACAAATTTATTGGATAAAACGAAAGCAAGTTCAGAGACATATCCAAATAATAAGGAAACTTAATAAATAACAACAAAAATGGCATTTTAATTTAGTGGGAAAGTATAATTTACTTAGTAACTGTGCTGTAAAACTGGTTATCCATTAAGGAAAAAAGTTAAATCCCTATTTCATCTCATATACAGAAATAAATTTCAGGAAGATGTCAGCAAAAATGGCAGACCTCTGAAAATTCTCTGCAATGAGCAGAGTGGCAAAATGCCTAATCAACTTTTTCAGAACTTTGAAAATTAACTAAAGACTTGCAGCAATCCAGAAAGCATTTATTTTTTAAAAAAATGGAAAAATTCAGTAAGAACAGCAAGTTTTGTGGCATTTTCCCATGCCCTCTCTCCAGTTATGTGGCAGCCCTGAAAACTAAAAGCCCACAATCATGAAAACCAGCAACCTGGCAACCACTACAGAGGGGGCAGAATGTGGTTGACTGGAAGAATGCATTTTTAAAAAAAACCATAATCCAACTATGTTTATAAGAAACACAGTTCAGACTCAAGGACACAAAGAATGTAAAAGAATTAAACAGATGTACCATGCAAACAGTACTCAAAAGAAAGTTGGAATGGCTGTGCCAATATCAGACAAAATAGACTTTAAAACAAAAATTGTTAGTAGAGACAAAGAGGGACATTTTATAATGATGAAAGGGTCAATCCACCAAGAAGATATAACAGTTATAAACATATATGTACCTTATAAAAAAAACCCCAAAACACATGAAGCAAAAATAAATTCCAAACGAATTAAAGCTATGAAAGTAAAAAATTCAAATAATAATTTACTAGAAGACATTTAGAATATTTTTATAATCATTGGAGGGCAGAAATTTCTTAAGCAACAGAAGAAAAAATAGATGAATTTAATGATAAAATTTTAAAATTTTTTGTATGAAAAAATATGATAAATGAAATTAGATGGGGTAAATATTTGCAACAAACTCGAAAAAGGATTAATATCCCTAAATTATAAAGTACTCTAACAAAATCATTAGAAGAGGAAAAATAACCTAAGATTGGCCAAAAAACATACACAGGCTGTGTACAAAGAGAAAATTCAAATGGCTGAAACCTTAGCAGTAGTCCTAGAAATACAAGATACCATCTTTTACCAGATTGGCCTAAAAAAAAGATCTATACTATCCAGTACTGGTAAGGTAAGTATTCATATATCATTGGTAGGATATAATGACATCAATTATAATGGACATCAATTTTGTCTTTCCCTATAATCCATATTATTTTTTTTCTGGCTTTTTTCCTAGATTACTTCTATCATTAACCCTATGAATCTCTTATTTTCACCAATAAAACAGAATATAAAGAAGCTATATTTTTCCCACTATTATTTTATGGAAATTTTAAACACACACAATGTTGACAGAATTATAAAGAGAACACTTGCATAACTGATAACTATCACTGTGATTCTACAATTAATATTTTGTTATATTTTCTGTGTCATATATCTGTTCATCTACCCATGCCTTGAAGATGTTATTTTTTTTATTAGTTTATTTATTTATTTAATTTAGATGCAATTAGCCAACATATAGTACATCATTAGTTTCAAATGTAGTGTTCAATAATTCATCAGTTGTGTGTAACACCCAGTGCTCTTCATATCACGTGCCCTCCTTAATGCCCATCACCCAATTACCCCATCCCCCTACCCACCTCCCCTCCAGCAACCCTCAGTTTGCTTCCTATAGTTAAGAGTCTCTCATGGTTTTCTCCCTCTCTGATGACTTCCCATTCAGTCTTCCCTCCCTTCCCCTATGATCCTCTGCACTGTTTCTTAATTCCTTTTATCTTTTTCCATGGCAAATTAATGTTTAACCACCCATAGTGATCAAAGGCAGCAAGAAAATAAACAGCTTTTACCTTTTTTTTTTTTTTT